CTTGGCCGATTGTGCTGAAAGTTGGCATGTAGGTAGGCACCCACTAGGCACTGCATATCCATGTGCCAGAGTTGGGGTGCTGCTGCACGTGCGCACGTGCAGGGGTCGTTTCCAGATCTCGAGAACGGCTGGACCGATGGCGCTCAAATTTGGTACACGGTTAGGGACCAGTTAGTAGGGTGCCGTGCACAAGTCAGTTGGGACCCATTTTGCACGTGCGCACGTGCAGGGTGTCGCTTCCAGATCTCGAGAACGGCTGGGCCGATTGTGCTCAAATTTGGCACATCGCTAGAGACCGGTTAGTAAGGTGCCGTGCACAAGTCAGTTGGAGGTACCCCCTCGAAATTTCGCACGTGCAAGGCCCACCCTCTCGCTCGCTCCGTTAGTCGCCCCAAAAGGCGTTATACTGGTATCATTTATGACTTTTTTCTAGAACGATATTACGCAAAAAACGCAAACCTGCAAAAAACGCACGCAGAAAACGCATAGTGTAGCCAGGCCAACGGAAATTTCTGAGTATGAGCGGCCGGCCGGCCGGCCGTGCGGACGCTTTTGCGAGGCTTATATCTCAGCAACCACTTGACCGATTTACACACGGTAATTTTTGTAGGGTAGCTTCATTCCTTCTACCAAGTATTGGACTATTTCCGATGCATGTGGGTGACCCCTTATGCACGTGCCACGTGCAAAACGAAGAGGTGTCAGTTTTGTAATTGTTGCAATATCTCGGTAACTACTTGGCCGATCGCGCTGAAAGTTGGCATGTAGGTAGGCACCCACTAGGCACTGCATATCCATGTGCCAGAGTTGGGGTGCTGCTGCACGTGCGCACGTGCAGGGGTCGTTTCCAGATCTCGAGAACGGCTGAACCGATGGCACTCAAATTTGGTACACGGTTAGGGACCAGTTAGTAGGGTGCCGTGCACAAGTCAGTTGGGATCCATTTTGCACGTGCGCACGTGCAGGGTGCCGCTCCCAGATCTCGAGAACGGCTGGGCCGATTGTGCTCAAATTTGGCACATCGCTAGAAACCGGTCAGTAGGGTGCCGTGCACAAGTCAGTTGGAGGTACCCCCTCGAAATTTCGCACGTGCAAGACTCACCCCTTCGCTCGCTCCGTTAGTCGCCCCAAAAGGCGCTATACTGGTAATTATGTTCTTTCATTTTATAATACAGTTGTTAACCTATGGGGTCAGCAGAGTGAAAAAGGTTGTACAATGAATCATGGTATAAGGCAGTGGCGACTGGGCCTTCGGGTCAGTCCCACATGGTGGTTTAATTGATGATTCAATGGCATCGGCAGTAGGCAAGACCCGAGTGAAGTAACACTTCAGAGGATGGCCGCTTAGAAACACAAAGGAATGCGAAGGATCCAGCTGCCCACATCGATACAAAACGAACTGATAGTTATAAATATATTCGGTCTTACTCGTATTTTTTCCTACCAAATGTTGGACTTATTATTGAGAGGCGTATATGCCTATTAAAACGAGTTCAAATTTATTTGCTAAAGAGATAGGATGACGAGCAGTAGGTAAGTTGTAACATTCAACTGCATTTCATAACAGGAAGGTATGCCTTTCGGAACGTTTTACGCACCACACACGCATGTTAAATAATCAAAGACCCGCTAACCATTCTCTTTATCGGATACCAGTGTCAAAGTTTTCCATTGATAGCCCCGTTCCAGACTCAACACCCCCCCCGCCACTTCCCCATCCAACTCAAGGACGTACACACGATCCCGTACATAACGCCAATAATTTCTTGGGAGTGAATATGCGCAGACATACAAGATGGGTGTCGATTCTATGCATTTTCTGTAGTATCTGTGCCATGAAATACCGAAAAAAACTAACACAACCAACCACCGCTAAATCAACATAACATCAAAATACCAAAGCAGAAACTTCCAGAACGTTTGCCTCACATGAACAGCACTACAACCCGATCCAAAGCGCCAGAGCCATAGACGCCGCGTGCATCACACATTGTCCATCATGTGCACCATTCGCATGTGCCGCCGTAGGGTGTGTTTGGTGGAGAGCACGCTGTGGCAGACGGGGCAGGTGGTCAGGTCCCGGTGCAGCTCCATGTGGTTGTGCAGGCCCTGCCGCCAGCGGAACACCTTGCCGCACACGGGACAGGCCGCGCTCCTGGCGTCGCACGGCGCCGCCGCCCCTGTGGACGGCCCGCCGCTCAGTCGGCCGCCATGGCACACCGCACTCCGGCGCTGCCACCCACCCATCCACCCACATCAACACAGCGATGGACAAATTACACCACTGCCAAGTGCCAATTCAGAAAACAATAACGTGCCGAACAACGTGTAAAAGAGCAAGGCCTGCCTGTCTGTGTGTAGTGGCATCCTCGATTTATCGGATCACCTTTTCGCTAAATCTGAATTTCGCACCATGAGTTTAAATTAAATAAGACACATTAAAATACATAAATACCTCAATTCCGTAGTGAATGTAAATATATTGTGCCCGAAGCAACAAGGCACAATTATTGACATAATGTGTCATCATATGGCTTGATGACAGGTATTTATCAAAATCGTATGGACTTCGACGAATTACAAGACAAATTTAAAGGAAATATAAAAATACACAAAATGACAACATCCATTTCAGAAAAATCAGTCAGAATATCTACCCAAGCGTCATCCCAACCAGTGTAAATAAACCAAACGGGAAACAAGATATATTCACACCGTTTTCATGCAACCTCTTTGGATACCATACGGCCATGTGCATCTTCCTATCTATTATATAAGGTCGCCAGGAACGTATGTTCTGACTATTGACTAGCAAAGCAATCCTTAATAAAACTCGAGGGGGTCTAGCTTCACCACACATGTCAACATCTGCCACTTCATCGGCAGTCTAATGTCAGCCGACGTAGCACAAGCACAGTGTTTGGATAAAATCGTGGGTACAAAGTGCAAACAAAAAATGAACAATGACGTTAGTAACAAGGGTCAAAGAAATAGCCATTCGAGAGAAAACTAGTAACCTAACACTCGAGAACAAAAAAAAACCTGATTCGGTACTCTTCTAGAAAATATCATGCAACGCAATGAAGCTAACTTATCATGAATAGTCCACTACCGATATCAACTATGTACCTATGCAGCATAGTAATAGCCATTACAGTGGGACTGCATTAACATGGGTTTTGGCATTTTCACGCGAGAAGGGCCTTCCCAAAAAGCAAAACAGCTCGCTTCTTCCAACTAAAACATGACGAACAAAGTCTGCATGGGTCACAATGGAGCATACCGAACGGCTATTCGGTACCAGCTCCAGTCCAAGGCCCTTTCTCGTGACTCGATCACCGTCGGTGCACTGTCACCAGGTGCACTCGCAGGTTGGTCTTGTTCGAGAATATTCTGCCGCAAATGGTGCACGTAGTTTCGCCCGTGTGCATCTTCTTGTGAGCGCCAAGGTCCGCCTTCCGCACATAGACTTTACCACAAAGGTCACAGCGAAAACCTTCCTTGTTGCCTTGGGCTCGTCTTGCAAAGAAATCTGGAAAATATCAAAACATTGATGTGATTCGACACAATTGTATGGGTGGAAACATATACCCCTATATTGAGGCAGCGGTTATAATTGAGCATAGCAGTCAAAACAGAATCAATCAAATAAAACTTGCAATGCAAATATCAATCGAAACAGAAAACTGGAATGCGTCAGCAGTGTGGTTAGTTTTTATTGTTAATAAATACGCCCTTCCGCGAGTCATAATTTAGTAATCCTTTTACAGAAAACATGGAACTTCTGCACATACCAACATACTTATGACATCTTTCCTGAAGTTCGACTCAAAAAAGATGAGCCGGTTCATTTGACAGCCTTTTATGATAAGTAGTTAACGTATTCAAGAGTAACTAAAATGGTACCTAATTAAGTTACCTACAATGACATTGGTCGCAGACTGGCCTCTACTTGTATACAATAATTATATCGCAAATCAAATGTCCTTGAAAGTTACATGTTCTCGTCCTATGGGTAAGTCTGCTTTTTACGTTTATCCGTCTTTCATATGCATAATTTTGAACATATTTCTATTGAGCGACGCTGTTTTTTTAAAATGTGCGTTACACATGCTTCATTTGCTCCGAACTCACAGTCCGTTATCGGCGAAGGCCGAGCATAACGTCCATCTGGTCTTTGGGTATTTGGTGCTGGCTGTCCATGTGGCGTTTCAAATTGGACACCCGGCTGAGGAACTTGCCACAGATGGGGCAGTTGGTGAGCCCCTCGTGCGTCAATCGGTGCTCGTACAGGGAGGACGCTGATGCAAATGTCTTCATGCACAGCGGACATTCCCTCCTAGGTCTGCCCCCTAGAACAAAGTGTGGCATGAGATATCGATGAAACGATCTACGTGTACACCGTTTACCAACTAGCTGATGTTAATGTTTAAATATCGATATAATGCAAAATCATAGCTTCAATAGCACGGAAAGATGTGTAGAGTCCAAGGAAAAATTTCGGCGAGCAAAAGCGTTCCTAGGTGCTGCACTCGAGGGTACCGGTCGTACCAGATCTAGCATTTTAGTTTCCTCCTAAATCGTTCCATACGCGTTGCGAGAAACTGGCACGGGCTCGACTCTGGAGAATCTGAAAGGAAAATTTTGGAAAAGGCCAGGAGTCTTAAAATTATACTTTTTGGAAGTTTCTTATCCGAAATGATTGAGCATTCAGCTGCAGCTGAATGTTCGATCTATACCGTCTACCAATAGTTCATCTATCAAGAATGAACTATACCGTTGTTCATTCTTGCGTTTCATATTGAAGCAAGTGAGCGAGAGCATTAATATCCTTCGCCCGGAGCACTGCTGCGTGACAACTATAATGTGTTACCCTGCTCAAACAAGCCGTACTTCCCATATTTCCGCTTTTGAAATATTTGAATACATCGCTTACATTGCAAGCTGCCTTATTTCTTATTTCATTTCACGTTTCCGAGGGGTACCAACAATTAGGCATGTGAAACCGCAAAAGTATTTATTGATAACAGCACATGATAATTACAAAAACCCGACCAAGAACAATAACGTCAAGCGAATGTCTTTTTCACATCAAGCAAGATGACACAAATACAATGGGATGATGGCAGCAGGGTCTCTAATTCCAACAACACAAATATGGACGATATACAGTAGGTGGTGCGAAAATTATTTGAACAAGTACACTGAACATTGATGTAGCAGTCGCTACTACACAGCCACCCCTCCCCCCATGGCACCATTCATGACCTCTACGTTAAATTTGAGTCTCTAATAGGTGTGGCTGTCCTTTAAGGTTTAGAACATATATTTAGGTGACATTTCAAAATAGAAAAGTGGCTTTGAAGTAACCCATTAACCATAACCGACTCCATTTATCTAAAGAAAACAAGCCGCCTTTTCATACACTTCTATCACTACATTTTGTTCCATAATCACGTACAATATCTCCACGAATTATTATCCGGCCTTTACATGGCTGTAACCTGACACTGACGCCTCTATTCACAACCAACTCCTTTGCCTTAACTTCTGGACCGCCCTCGGATAAGCTTTAAGATTGAAGTGCAACGTGAATAGAGTACCGAACAGAGTACCGTAAAGAATCCATCAAAATCTTGTGTTTTCCGAGCACTCAAAAATTGGGGTCAGGCAGTAGCGATCCAAGCCAAGGCGCCCACAACAAGCTCTGGTTTCGATGATCCGTAAAGTGATTCAATCTGCCGCAATCAGACACTCCGAAAATTGCAGATAACGATGTCACTTTTCGTGTTCGCTCAATAACTAGGAGGAACGTGAGGCATCGCCAGCAGCCGCTTCACGTCGTCCATGGGAATGTTGTGCACCTTGCTGACGTGCACGCGCATGTAGTAGGTGCGACTGAGCGCCAGGCCGCAGATCGGACAGGTGGTGCGACCCTCGTGCGCTGACAAGTGCTGTCGCCGAGAACGTTCGTTTTTGAAGCGAGCGTTGCAAAGCGAGCATGGAAAATCGGCTGCAAAGAGGAAACGATCAGGGAGATCAGAAGGCCATCTCGGACGGCACAAAAGAACATTTCGAGCACAAAAAGCAGCTTAATTATATTCGAGAACAATGTTCAGAGAAACAAACTTCTATAGCGAAGCTGATGAATGTATAACACTAACGTAATATTACAACATACCCCAGTAGAGCAAGTGATAGCAAAACAACGTCATCCATATTCTTTTTTTCGTCGTGGACGAGAAAGAATAACTCATGTTTGAAAACAAAATAATAGCGTTATATGACTAATCATATAACGCCGAACTGAGCATGACGCATCATTATTTGACTTCGTTTCGCAAAGTCATACTTCAATATTCAGTTTTAGCTCGTGGGATGTCAAAACGGTGAAGCATGGTTATTGGTTACCAATTGCATTTTCATCGACACTTCTTAAGGGAATAAAACGGGTCGGTACTACTTTGCTTATAACACCAGAAGAAAGCTTTTTTTCTGTAATTGAATAAGGACAGAAATAAACGTTAAAACATAATCCCACGAAAATTTATATACAAATGCAATACAAATGGGGACAAGCGATATAACAAAAAAAAAAAAAAATGACCAGGAAGCAGAAACTCCCGCATGAGATCACTACACCAATTACAAATTACGAAACAATCCAATTTATATGTATTCATAGAAACTTGTACACAACGGTAACGTGTCAACCAGATTTTGACAAAATGACGGAAGGACAGAACAACTTGCTAGAGGACGACAATAATAGGAAATCCATTCAACGAAGCATAACACACCAATCCGCTCAACAGCACGTAAACCAACTTCAACCACATCAAAACAGCGAATAGCCAAAACGTGAGGACTCGCAAAAATATCATACGATCCATCCCTCCAGGCACATCAGGCCGGGAACATATTCACGGGGGAGCTCCATGATCACCGCCGCTGCGCCAGGAGCGTCTGAATCTGATCGCGCGGCACCTGGTGTTGACAATGCAGGTGTCGTCGCACGTCCGAGAGTCTGCTGAGCCGCCGACCGCACAGCGGACAGTCCGTCAGGCCCTCGTGCCACAGGCGATGTTCGTACCACGACGACACCGACCTGAACGACCGAGAGCACAGTGTGCATTGGTGCTCGGCCGGTGTGGGCATGCCTAAAACAAAGGACAGGAGAGGTGGGCGTGGGCAGCCACTAACGTCACAGGCAACAAGACACAGTGAAAAGAACAAAAATGGAAGTAAATTATGAAGATAATCGATCAAAATATCATGTGTATACATAGTTGAACGTCTATGCAGACGCAGAGTGATTCAGTGATTAGGTTTTTGGTGATGGTGAGCTAATTCAAGCAGTATTTTCTTGACAAGTAAAACTATTTCTTTTTTGTACAAACAAGTAAGGGTTTAAGCAAAATTTAAACAAGCGGTTTTTTGTAGTAACAACCATATACCTACAAAATATATGGAAACATATGTAAAATGTAAAAATGTCAAACTGTGTATATACAGTCGGAAGAGTTCTTTTTTCTTCTTCTAATAATGGTCGTTTATCTTTTCTGCGATTTGTGTCGGGGATTACATTGGAGGGCCAAATGACTGTTATAATTAGGTAACTATATGCACACAGATGATACAAAATGTATTATTTGTACAACGGCCACACGACAGAACCATTTATAATAGTGATAGATAACAATAAATAATTATTGCAAATGAGAATTAAAGAGAAATTGAAAGAAACTGCAATATCGAAAGAGAAAGACAGCTAGCGCACATCGACATAACCTGTATGAGCTGAAAGATGTGAAATATCCACACTTGTTAGGCAATAGTAAGACGCCTTATGTGCCTACAATCGTACGTGATGATTCACCCTCATTAACAAAAAAACAAAGGCGTTAAATGAAAATCGTTATTATACACATCTAGCGTACACAATGCCAGACAAGATACCGATAAAGGTATTCCACGGAAAAAACATGCTACCAAAACAGACAACGAGGGATTCCGCTCGCTCATTCGGCATGAGCCGCCGCCTGCTGCCCAGTCTCACACCGTGGTCCATCGCACAACACGAACCACCCAACCACTGCCGTCCGGTTCGGCTCAGACGCCGGGCCGGTTGTGCACCGACTTGACGTGCAGGTTCCTGGCGCTGGGCGTGCCGAAGCACTTTCCGCAGACTGGGCACGTGGTGCGCCCCTTGTGCAGGCCCATGTGGTTGTAGAGTGCCCGGTCGCTGCCGTACACCTTGGAGCACACCGGGCACACGTGCTGCTGGCGGCCCGTCGCCGACCAGGCGGCCGTCACAGGCGCCACTGAGAAAGCTGCACGAACCGGACACCGACCGTCAGGCCAACGTCCTCACCTCACACGAGCATACAAACCCAACTGTAAAATGCAAGCTTTCATAGTCGTTCAGAAATTGAGCATAAACTAAGCAACAGGCATCCGACTAAAAGAGAACAAATGCGGTATTAAGGGTTCTCCAATATTTCAAACACATTGATTGAGACATCTTGTTCTATTCATATAATAGAACGGCCCAAATTGCGTAAAGCAACGTGATTCAATACATGTTACGAATCTCATGGGCCTTCAACAGGACAGGCAAGAGCGGCAATCAAATATTGTGGGTTGAGGGTAAGCGAAGGCCAGGTGAATTTATACATTATACCTACATGCTATTTATCTTATGTCCATGTTTTTTTAAGCAAAGTAACAGTGAGCACCTACGAGTGCACCCTGTATCTACAAGCAATGTACAGCGATTGCTGTCCTCAACGGATCCCAGCCATCCCATCATTAATTTGTGTGTTGATCACACTCACGATACTGTAACACAGCGTTGCATAATACGGCTACCAGTACACTGAACGGCGAACGCGATGCAGACCACTAGTGTGTGATAATTTTATTCCTCAGACGGTTGGCAGACCACGAATAAAGTCGTTAGTACAATCGTGAACTGTTCGCAGATGCATATTCCTGGAACTGAATGTGCCGAAGCATTTCCCGCATAGAGGACATTTAGTCCGGCCCTCATGCATGGTCTTGTGGTTATCCAGGGCCTTTTTGCTGCTGTATCTCTTGAAGCAGGTCTGACAGACGAACTGATTGGGAGATACTCCAGATGTAAAGGCTGCCCAGAAAGAGACGAAAGTTAGTACCCCCGTTACGCGGATTCGCAAGGGCAACGGTCTTTACAAAGTACGCGGCAGGGTATTTCACTCTCCTTAGTAAGACAAACGATTTAGAATCACCTCAACGAAGTTTTACACCACCTCCGTTTCACCGATGACCATGCAGGGATGTTATATGAGGCAACCATTTTTGAAGTAAATGCAGACGACACGTTTATTGAAATGCATGTGCATCGTACATCGTGATGTCAGTCAACAAATACGCGCATTTAACGCAAAAACTCTAAATGAACACAAAACACCTGTGAGCTACCAAACAACTCAACTTCGAGCATAGCAGTGTCGTACTTGTAAATGACCCGTGCTGCTCTAAACAGATCCAGCATCAGCAAAGAACAATAGATGCAGATACTCGTCACATCAAAACACAGAAAGTGGCTATCGGAGGAGATGAAGCCCAAAGCCGACATGGCAGCGTAAGGGTTCCACTTCATGAACCAAGCTTCTGTATGTCTTCCTTAGTGAAATTGTGCTTGTTCCTCAGATGTGTGTTCCTATTGCTAAAACTGCTCAGGCACTTTCCACAGATGGGACAGAATGTTCGGCCCTGGTGCATTCCCATGTGATGCTTCAGCGCCGTGCTGCTGCCGTAGGTACTGGAGCAGATTTGGCAGACGAAGCGCCCGTCCGTGGATCGTCTAGGAAGCGACCTATACGGATCCACTGCACAGAGCGAAAAGGTTCCGTTAGAAAAGGCCGAATAAGAGCACATTTGCCGTATGGAAACCAGAAACGGAATGGCAATATGAAGTAACGGACATACGCAGAGACAAGCAGCTGAACCCAGTAGTCTGTAGCACAAACGACAAAAAAGAAGCAAAAATCGGCAGAATCAATGAGCATGATAGAAACATAATTCGTGGAAATCCCTACCAAAATCGTTGAGCTTATCAACCTCAACAAACGTCCAGAACGCCTAGTAGTTGAGTAGTGGCACATCTGCTTGACCAACGATAAAGTGTACCCATAGGCCACCTAAAGAGAGTGTCTTTGAATTATGGTGAGTTGTACCGACATCATGGTTTATTATTTTTTTTCGTAGTGCTCTGATTGCGTTTGGGAGCACAATAAAGTAACCTGTGCCAGACTTGATTAGATAAACGGATTCTAGAACAGATCTCGTGAATCATGCAAAACTTGCGTGAAGACCATTGCCAATGACCCACATGGGCGCAAAGGTTAAGACAGACATGGAACAGGTTGTTAAAATGTTGGGGATGGGGGGGGGGGGCGTATACGAGTCCTTCACAAACATAAATAAATACATCATAATGTGATCTCTTGATGCCGCTGAATCCAGCATGCAATGAAAGCCTGACGAATACTGTAGCAACGCTGCATCACTGACGACAGCTCAGAACATGAGGACATGGAGTGCAGCCTTCGAAATGGACAGCCAATGTTTACAGCAAGGCGGACAACCCAATGAACATTGGACTGACCGTTCTAAAAACACATCAAATCGACAATTAGTGTTTTTAACGCCTAGTTCTACCATAAATAATGAATAAAATAGCTGCAATATAAAGCTATCTTCACCGACATAAGCATCCGTGCTACTGCACCATGCAGAGTTGATGAAAATTGATGTTTACCGTTTTTTTTTTGTCTCGGCACGTAAAACAGAAAGGTTGCAACGTGGATAGATAGTTTGATAAAATGATGATGAATAATAAAATTGAATACTTTTGCTAAAATGTTTCATGCTATTAGGATAAGTGCATCACAGCATTAAATCAAATATGAGAATGGCGTCAGAAGGTCGTGCTATCATCTTACACCCATTGCATTGGCTAGTACGTAAGATTCTTAACTTTCACTTTACCTGCAGCTATATCAGGCGTTCAAAGCCCTAGCTATTGCAAGAAAACTCACCAATAAACGCCTCCAACAAACTCCAACCGAAACATGCGACGAACACTCAATGAAAACAACGCTTTCATGTGCAGTCCATCGTTTTCTGGCACAATTTCGGACGTGTTAAATGACAATTGAATAAAGCCAACCCATGAACTGCATTTACTTCACAAAAACAAATATTTAGCATAATTAAGTACCAAGCATAATTGCAAAGACCAAGGAAGTTAAGAATGTCTAGGAGATACTAAATAAAATGACGCATGGCTCGCAAAGAAGAAACATCTAAAAAACATTGTAATCCCTATAGACTTTGCTTTTATGACAGCACTTTGTAAGCAAAAAGTTAACCCACACCAAGAGTAGCCTAAGAATCAAGTGAGCTTTATATATCGTAGATCACTAAAAACATATAGATTATGGACCACTAAAAACATATGCATTCAGCATCATTCAGCTAATGTGAAGTGCTTCATTGGTGCACCACTATCATTTATCAACAACAAAATGAATGATATAAGGTATAGCACAGTAAGAAAAATCTGCTGGCTTTTATGAATGACTATCATCATATAGGTGACATGCATCGCGCACGTCGTACAAGTGTGTCTTCCTACGAGTAAAGCAGGACTTGAATCGAGACTTGATCGAATATGAGTGCATGCATAACAGTTGATGGTATTCTCGCACAGATTTGGACCTACCTTATTGTTTTGATCACAATCCATCTTCAACGCCGCATCCACACAAAATTCAATGGCAGCAAATTACCAAAAATCGCGATATGCCAAACCAAACGTCGCGAAAAGCCAAACAAAGTAAAGTAACCTCACGAATACCTTAGTCCGTATTTTGGAATTTTGCGTACTGCAGTTTGCATTCTGGGAAGTTAGACAGACAGACAGACAGACAAAACTTTATTCCAGACCATACTGGTCCATAAAAAACCCTTCACATCATAAAAACACACACAAACACACATGCTAAAAAAGACACACACTGCAGCCTAAACACAGGGGAGTCAGGTGACATCCATGTCTGCCCTTGTATACAGCCTTCCCAGCCATGACCTCCTGATCCTTGACTGGTACCTC